AAATAGGAATGTTGGCAGAGGAAAGTGGAAGAAGAAAAGCTAAGTTCTCACAATTCTAAGGTTAAAAAGGGAAACAGAAGGTTAGAGTGATGACAAACTTTTCCTTCATCGTGTATTTTCAAGCTTAAATTTATCATTTCAGCAGCAATAAACGGACATATCTGAGTATGCTCGTGGCTTGGCTGCTTGAGTTCCGAGGATGGTAGAGTCTGGGCTTTGGAAGGCACAGCTCAAGGCAAACTCTGAAATGCAACAATGCATGACCCGCAAGAGCTTTTCCAGACCTCACTGCTTCCGCAGGGAACAGACTTGGGGGCTCCTCAGAAATGCGGGGAAACAAGGCATTCCTGGGGTGTGGGGTGGGCGGTTAAGGAAGGAAACACTCTCCTGTGATCTGCCGTTGACTCAGAGCTGCACTGGCTGTGGTTCGGGGATGGTCCTGAAGGCTCTTTATACTCTGACTAGCGTTTCTTACTCGTATTCAAAGCATTAGACCTTAGGGTAGTCAAAGTCATGAAAGGATGATTTTCATGAAATACGTCAATGTTTTGTCATCTATCAGCTTCTCAAATTTGCCTCCTTTGTTTCTACATTCACACTGAGAACTGAGAATAAAATTATGATTTTTCTGTCATGCTTGGAGGTACGTGGGTGTGGCAGTTCTGCAATAGGCATGGTCTTCTTTGGCTATAACGGATCTCCAGGCAGCTGGCTGTGCTGGTCTCAATCAGGTGCTATGGGTTGTGGAAAGAGTGCTGGTCTGTGCGTCAGACCAGCATGCTGGCTGTGGTCATGAGATCTTGAGTGGGTACTAACCCTGTGAAGAGGAGGACTATGAAAGGCCATCTGACTGGTTTCTTCTAGTGATCTTCTTGTTATTTTGATATGGATTCTAATAAGAGTTTGGGCCCCACCTCACATAAAAATCTTAAAGAGGAAGCTCCTTATTTTCCCTCAGAATTGGAACTCTGTGGGGGAGCAAAATGCATTCCTCTTGCTTCAAATTGAAGGTGAACAGTAGCAGAAGGGTTTATTTTAAGCTTTTACTCTTCTGATTCCCACTTTGGAAAACAAATGTAAAAATGATGGCTTTATTCTCATTATAACAATAACATTCCCAAGTGGCTAGATTCTCAATGGTTTCTCATTTATTTTTCAAATCTACTGTCGGATGGCTTCCAAAAAGAAGACCTGAATGAATAAATATAAGAAAAATGATTAAAGTATCAAAATTTATGCTATATCTGATGAGCAAATAATTCAATCTACCTTTCTATGGGTTAGCTTTACATTGTAAGGAGACAAAATCTAGAAGAATAAACTATAAAGAAATGTAATTTAAAACATCATTGCCTTCTAGCATTTCCTGCCATCCCAAGTCTCGGTGCATAAAATTACCAATAAACTTACTATGGGCTTGCATCTTTAAAGATTACTAGGGCCCAGGAATGAAGGTGAACACTGAAAAAGGGTGACAGAGAATGAGGCCAGACCTTTGGTTGAAGTAAGCCCATCATGATAAAGGAAGGAAGAAGGGGGATGTGATGATTGCAATTCACTTAACGTTTTATCTGGTTTATAGAGATAAATACAAATAATCAACCTTGGGGGAAAGATTTATTTCTAAAGTCAAGAGAGGACGTAGCAAAGAAAAAAAGCAGACAAAAGATCTTTAGAGTAGATCAGTAATGTGGTGGCCACCACAACATCTAGCTAAGGACCTGGTGATACTGGGAAATGCTTCAAGTTACCAATGCCCTGAGAAATCTCCTTCAGAGGGCAGAAGCGCAGTATACGAATAGATTATAAGTGTACACAAAGCATTATGCTAAGAAAATAAGCCAGTCAAAAAAGGATAAGTATCACATGATCTCACTCATTTGTGGAACATAATGAACAATGTAAACTGATGAACAAAAATAGATCCAGAGACGAAGAAACATTGAACAGACCATCCAACCTCAGAGGGAAGGCAGGGGAGAGGGAGGTGTTAAGAGATCAATCAAAGGACCTGAATGCATGCATATAAGCATAACCAAGGGACACAGACACTAGGGGGGAGGAGGGGTCCGAGCATGTGCTGAGAGGGAGGGGGGATGTCCAGGAAATGGTCAATGGGGAAAAAGGAGGACATGTAATTCTTTCAACAATGAAGAATTTACATTTAAAAAAATAATAAAAAGAGTGGGCTAGTATATAGCTCCCTGGTCCTCTCGAAAACAACCCAAAATATCGTGCCAGCTCATATTTAGCAATAGTTCCCATCATCAAAAGACAGCATTTAAAAAAAAAACATATTTGAGATTTAAGAACACTTTTTTTAAAACTGGGAATAATTTTTGTTTGTAGCTTGTGAAACAGTTACCTATAAACTGTCAATAATAACATTTATTATTTTATTATGCTGAAGTTTAGAGAGATATTTAATTGCACATGAATTTATCATTGGAACATCCTCTATAGGCATGAGGAGACAATATTTTACATTTTTCTTTTCCCACACATAGATAACTTATAATTCAATACTTGGCCTGTTATTTCTGAAGGGAAGTTAGTTTAAAATTTGAATTGAACACATCGCCCTGGTAATTCACAGCTGGCTCTTTCTAACTCGGTCACTATGAACATACATATAAAGCTTTCATAATCAGTCTCCCAAATGTAGTATAAAATTACCGTGACATATGAGAAGCTGAAATCTAAGTTACTTTTGGGTGCTCTTGAATCCGTGATTTAAAAGAAAATTTACTAGTCTCTTTTTAATTTATATTATTTTTTCAAGCTGACAAGGACACACTGACCTAGAAATAGATTTTTCGGGTGCTCTGAAATAGTCCATTAGGACCATTGAAAAACTGAAATAGTGAGTGATGCTGATTCTCCACTGCTTGACCAAACACCCAATAGAGATTTTTGTCTTGTAAACCTCACATAATCCATGAGCCTCAACCGAGGAAAGCCCAAGACACAAAGGAAGTCTTTTCAATAGTTTTCCCCATCAATTTGAAAAGGATTTCCTTTTTTCTTTTCTATTCACTGACTCCTTCATTCATTTATTCACTCACTCAACACATTATTGAGTACTTGAGATATAATATCAAGTACTACAGGATATGACGGTAAGAATAATCTTGGTCTATAACATTACTGCTTTCCCCACAATCATTTTACTCGAATGTGTCCTCCTCTTTTCATGCCTTTATCCTTCAAAATTTTCCTAGCTAATGTTTCTGATCCAAATCCCACCCTCTACAACTTGTATTATACTGGTTTGTAGAAAAGCATTCCTTGTTTATGAGTACTCTATTGTCTATATTGACACCACTACCACCCCAATAATAATAATAATAATAATAATAATAATAATAGTAATAGATACTATTTTATGAGCCATTCACTTTATACACATTACTATTTAAATCCTCATTGTAATGATGAAAGGCAAACATGACATTTTTATTTCATTTTGAACCAGTTTCTTTCTAATGGGGCATATGTGCCTTTTAGGCACTGCAAAGCTTCTCAGATCCTTGGATTCGATTGGACACCACTATCCACTTTTCCTATTTTACACAGATGTCTCTAGGGTACTTGGCTTTTATCACAGCAACAACTAAAAACCCAATTTCACAAAGATTTGGCATCTTGAAAAGAAATTTAGTGTGTGCTAATGCTGAAACTGTGTCCTGTCCTGAGCTAATAAACCATGTAGTGTTGGACAGATGTGGAGAATTGCTACATTTGCTTTGAGTATTTCAAATACTCTGCCTCAGCACTGGGACTGTGTCATAGCACCTCAAGACACTTCTTGCACAATTTGGAACTTTGGCCCTAAGTAGAAACGATGCCAATTCCACTTTGCCTTTCTGTACTACTCATTTGGTACTGAACACACTGTATTTTGTATCTGAATTAACTGCATGCACAGGTCTCACGTCCACTACCAGGTCACCTGCTCTGTGAGGCTCAGAGGCCATTCCTTGCACACACCTAGCACAGAAGCTAACACATTTTGTACTACATAGAAAATGCTCAACGGTAACTTGTGGAATGTGTGGATTAAAAAAAAGTTACACTATGTACTTATGTAATTTCTCCCCAGTCATTTGAAATGCCTTTCATATTTTCCCATTAAAGTGTAAACATTTTTTTTGAGCAGTGTACAGTTGATGTGTTGCTGACTAGTGGGTGGACTGTAGAAAACCAATCTTGGAATATTTAAAGGATGATTTTGAAGGGGAATACCTTTCTTAATGCTTGTAGTTTGCTTACAGTTTTTTGGGTAACATGCCTGTAAGTTACTATGTTCAAATGCAGTAAATTCTGAGTCACAGAAAAATAAAAATAATTTTGAATAATACTATAGTTCTGGGTATTGTTTCTCTAAGCCATTCATACTGTATGATAATTATGCCATTATGACAACATTGTCAATGATAAAGTGTAGAAATTACACTTTGAAAGTAACTACTTGATAATTAATTATAGTATGTTTTCCTAAATGTGAATATTAGGTCTTAAAAAACTATCGTAAGAAGTATGAAATGGTTCCTGTGCATGTGTATGTGGTTGTTTTATTTTCTGTTTCTCCTGTTTCTTTTTAAAAGCTGAGAGCTGGACTCTAGCATTCTTTTCTGCCCTAAAAAGTAAATATGCTTCTAATTAGTCAATCAGATTTAGGCCCCATATCATTTAAGAAAATCAATAGCAAACTATCTGTGTTTTCTTTTAATGAATTAAACTGCTGACAGGTAATGAGCCATTTGTTCATTAACATTAAAGTGGTAAAACTAAATAGGGAGATGAGATAGAGAATACAACCACTTTGGGGTAGCATAGGGCTAGTTCCCATGACTTTTCTCTTTTTTTGTGTGTCTTTCCCCTGACCCACTAAAGTCTCCATCCCAGCATTCCTGAAAGAGGATAAGTGCTGTAAATTAATTCACTAAACAGACTTCAAAACACAAACAGGCTCTAGTGACTGGAGAGCGCTTAGTTACCTGCTGTTTCTCTGTCAGCTGAAGTCAGCTCTCCGTTGATCCCATTCTCTTTGGTATTTGAGTAAGTGCTCTGTGACCCATGCTCTCCAAAGGTGCCCTCTTCGTCCTCCCTGAATGGGAATCCATTGGCACTTCTGACAAGTCCTTCCCCTGCCCCGCCTTGGTCCTTAATCTCAGGTGAATGTGGGTGTGCAGAGGCCTCCGTTAGCTGAGCTGAGGTCCAGTGAGGTGCCTTCGCGTCATCTTTCCGATCATCTGCCATTCTTCAACACCTGTCACCTGTCCTGTGATTGGAAGTGAAAAAAACAGTAGCCATGACTTTGGGGGAATCTGGTCTGATATTCATAGTGCCAAGGGAGAGCAAATTTGTGGTGGTTAGCTACGGTAAACCACAAAAATGCTCTTTCAATAATCTACTTTTAATATGAAGAGGTAGCTGTTAGTAACACTTTGGTTCTGTTTTTGTTTTGTTTTGTTTTACAAACATTTTGGCATAGCTTTCCTTTTCTTATAAGATCTCCATCAATCTATATACACTTTTTTTTAAAAAAATAGTGTTTGGCATGTAAGGACATATCTTAGCTAGCTTTCATTGACATGTGATGTTCACTGTTCAGTAGAGCCAAGGAGTCCAGCACTATAAGAAAACTGTCTAATGGTTTTTCATGTTTAGTCTTCGGTGGTGTGTTTGAGAAATGTTGAGTTGCGCAAGCATGTGTAACACTAACTGAGAGCTTTTCATGTGCTCGGACACATGGAATCTCAGGGAAGGGCAGTGATGTGGGGAGAATCCCAACCAATGGGCCATAGGACCTTTTGTCTGATGCCATGTTTATCAACATCTCTCAAAGGATTTGGGAAATACTTAGGTTTTCACTTTAGCCCATGGGAGTTCCAGCCACAGATTTTCAAAGTAAAGAAAATAATATGAACACCCACAGTTCTCAGCTAAAATTGGCAGTTTTCCCCATAGGGCTCTCTGGAAAAGATTTCTCAGTGACTAAAAATCCCCAGAGCGAACCTACAAAAACCAATGTCTAGCCGAAACCGGTTTGGTTCAATGGATAGAGCGTCGGCTTGGGGACTAAAGGGTCCCGGGTTCGATTCTGGTCAAGGGCATGTACCTTGGTTGCAGGCATATCCCCAGTAGGGGGTGTGCAGGAGGCAGCTGATCGATGACTCTCTCTCATCGATGTTTCTAACACTCTATCTCTGTTCCTCTCTGTACAAAATCAATAAAATATATTTAAAAAAAAAAAAAAAAAGAAAACCAATGTCTAATGGATGTCTATTGGTCATCATCCACTTGAAATGTTGATAGTTGGTTTTCAAGAGACCAGTCATTCAAAAAGTGATCTCTTTAGTGTGTAATGCCTCAGACTTTTGGATTTTTTCTTTTTAATCCATCAGTAGAAACTAATTTTGTAAAAAGAAAAAGGTGGCTGGCCATATTGGTTTCAATTAATATCAGAGAAACAAATGAAGTGAATTTATAATCTAAAATGCATCATCTAACTTCCTAATAAGACTAATCAGATAATACTCCTTAAAATGTATGCATATTGCCGAAACCAATTTGGCTCAGTGGTAGAGCATCGGTCTGCAGACTGAAAGGTCCCAGGTTTGATTTCGGTCAAGGGCATGTACATTAGTTGCGGGCACATCCCCGGTAGGGGGTGTGCAAGAGGCAGCTGGTCGATGTTTCTCTCTCATTGGCGTTTCCAGCTCTCTATCCCTCTCTCCTCCTCTCTGTAAAAAAAAAAATCAATAAAATATATATTTTAAAAATGTATGCAGATTAATCAGCTATCCCTTCTAATTTGTTGGGCTTTTGAAATGTACATACTAAAACCATGTAATAAGTGACAATATGTCAGAAAATGTCAAGTTGATATTGCTCTGACAAAGCTACTTTGACAGAAAGTATGATTTAAGACTTCCTTCTGCTCTACTAAAAAGCGTCTGGAAGCAAAGGAGATACCATTGGCTACACTCACTTATAATCACAGCATATTATTAAAATACCACCCATTTGTGGTAAATTTCACTTGAATTCTTAATCAGTGTTTTGGAGTCACAGTTTAGCTCTACTCTACAAAATAGCATTATGACAATAGTCAAAAGTGAACACAGCTTCTTTTAATTATTTCTTCCTGTTGTATATAATTATTTTACCTGAGTCTCTCAGGAAACTGTGAATATGAGATAAATAAGAAAGCTGATAAAGACAAATTCCCTCCAAATCTATGAGAGGAAACTGAAGTCGAAGGAATGTTAGCATTCCATTCCTCCTATGTAATGAGAAAGCCTCTCCTCTCTCCTTATTGCAAAAGATCACAAATCCTAACTGTGGGAGAGCTGGAAATCTGAATGAAAACAGTTGTTCCACAGGTTAAATTCCAAGTTGAAATGGTTTATAGATTAATTACTTATTTATGTAACATCTGTAAAATGTTTCCGTTTTGTTTTGGGGTAGATTTAATGTATACATGTTTAATATTGTGAAGTAAAATTAGGACTCTTCCAATATTGATTAGAAGGTCTTAGATAATTCTAGTTATATCAAAAGAGAGAAGAAAACAAACAAGCAAAAGAGTGAAAGAAACAACAACAAATAGAAAAAGAAAGAAAAGAAAATTCCAACTCAACAGAAAACATGACTCTGATGGCAATATTCAACTCATGGTTTGGGACAGGTATACTTCAAATTTCAGTTACTTACTAAATTTTTTTTAAAATCTAATATGATCATTAGTGAGGGTCTTAGAGACTCATTTTGTAGCTTATGAGTAGGTCTGTCAGTCAGTAATGGTATTTACTAGATTTGTAGCATACCGATTACATTAATAATTGGACTTGTATTATATTCAGATTCTCTTATATTTAAATGCAACTGTCTTAAACATTTTCCAGACCTAAGACTATAATGCTCTATGTTTGAAAATTCTAAGATTTTTACTTGAATACCTACCTGCCCAGATACTTACACAAATTCATACATTTTTGTGTATAAGAACAAATTTGGACTTGCCCACAGGCAACCACAAATCCTAACTCCAAATCTGCAAGACCACTCTTGAAAACATTGTATTTTGTGTATGATTGTCTCTTGCATAGGATAGATACATCTTAGAAATAAGATGCATTGTAATTTAGAAATAAGGTCATATGCGTTTTGCTGATTTCTAATATTTCTTAGACATATTCCCATAATACAGCTATTCCGATATTTTCCCTTAATGGTCAGAAACTTTAATACTTAACTATAGTATTTACCTCATTCTAAATCTTTGGTGCTGAATTATGATACTTATTACAAATAAAAACTGTATCTTTTGCCTTCCAACATTTTATTTTTGGAGCATGATTCTTTAAGAAAATCATACAGTATTATTTAGCACATAATAGCTTTCATGTTATCCTTCATGTACACTTAAATTGAAAAAACACACAAAATAGATATCAATATATCCTTGATAAATCATTTTATAAAACCTTACATAATATTCTAGATCTTTCACATGGGGTATATTTTAACAACTCTAATGAAAATATGACTTCTTAAAAACTAACATTACTTAGTTGTTTAAGTTTTTCTCCTTTATCCACCTTCCCTAGAATACTCTATGAATTTACATTTCAAGCACATGTTGCTAATAAAAGAATGATAACTTTAAAATGATGACTTACATTTATTTTGGAGGTGGCCAAATAATACACCTTTGTTGGTTCTCCCTAAGAATTATACATGTGCACATTAAAATTTAATGTGTTTAAAGACTACCTTGAAAAAAGAGGCATTTTCATCTGTAACTCCATCTATTATGCATATTGTGCATTTAAAAAGAAAGTTTGACATGCTCTGACAGTTCCTGTAGTTTCTGTTATTAGCGCAGAGATAAATTTATTTAAGTGCATCAAACTTCAGTTCCTGAGCACATGTGCCCTGAGGCTTGCAGAGACAAAAAAAATAAGGTACAGCTGCCACATTTCCTTCACGATTCAAAGGGAAGAAATAAGCAAGCAGAAATACTGGGAAGAAAATGTCCCTGACAGCTCTGCTGTTTTTGGAGCTACTGACAAATTTCCTTTCTCAGGGCATATCCAGAGTGAAGGGTGTACACTGCAGATACATTTTATTCAAAATAAACCATTTTCTAATTTTCTATCTACTTACCGTGTTTCCCCGAAAATAAAACATCCTCCGAAAATAAGACCTACTTACAGGTTTCCTTCTGAGTGAAATATAAGGAATCCCCCCCGAAAATAAGGCCCCCCCAGGCTGTCTCAGAAACTTTGTGAAACCTAAACTGCAAGAAGTTGTGACTTGGGTGAAGAATTCATGGGAGAAAATCACTGACAGTTGCATTGCAAATGCACTGCAAGCAGCTAACTTGACAAAGAAGTACTCATTTAAAGACAATGCTATTGCTAAACATGAGAGATTTGGTCCACTGATTCTGAAAGAAATGGAGTCACAAGAAATTCAACAGGAAATTCAGGAATTGGATTGTTATGATGATGTTCCAGAAGATGATGACATGATTGATTGTCATTGGATAAATGAATAAATTCTTGATACTGTAGGATTCACAATTTGTCTGGTTTGCATTGACATCTACCATTCTAGTATACCATATACAGGTAATAAATTTCCTTTATTTTCATTTAACAATAAATGTGTACCATATTCTTCTTCATGGAAAAATAAGACATCCCCTGAAAATAAGATTTAGCGCATCTTTGAGAGCAAAAATTAATATAAGACACTGTCTTATTTTCGGGGAAACAGGGTAGTTAGAGGCTTCCACATTTTTAAGGGTTATGCAAAGCAATATGTGCATAACCGAAGTATGATAGTAATTCACAAACTGAACAAAGCACCATTTAGCTATCCGCTGTGTTTCGAATATTTGTTTAATGCTGAGTGAATAATTCACCAACCTTCTAACGCCAGATATACACAGGGAAAAAGGTTCTGTTAGCTATAAATGCTTAGCCAACACTAGCTCCATCGGTGAGAGGAGAATGGTTTTGAAACCTAATTTTCAGGCCTGGTAGGAGAGCTGGTACTAAAGTTCTAACTCCATTGGGAGCACATGAAGAGTAATGCCAAGCAGAACAAATGACCAGACCTGAACTAAACTTGGATACATACCAGAGAGCATGTGACATGTAGGTATAGAAATATCTTGAAGACAAACTATTTCATCCCATCTCAGAAAAGGTTTTAAACTGATAAAACTGAAACACTCTTTGGTG